GAGGGCCCAACACGGGCCAGTCCGAGATTGGCGAAGTTGTTGCGTTTCCACCCCTCCATTGGTTGAATTCTCGTTCTGGGGAACGCCTTGGGGCCCACCCAAAGGATCTGTCCGACTCTAGTTCGGCTCTAGCTCGACCCACGTTCGTCTCAAGTTCGTCTAAGTTCGTCCGACGCTGCATCGACGCATGAGTGGTTCGAGCGGTTCCACGAATGCCCCCAGAACGAATCCTACGAAAATTGATGGTCTCCGTCTCCGCCCATCTTCCGCCTCACACGTAGTTCCCCTCTCTGGGTGCTGCCAGACACGCCGCTGTCGCCGCTGTCGTGAGCTCTTGGGAGGTCCAGCGGGGTGATGTCCTGCACTGACCAGCATCTCGTCGAGAGAAACCTTAGGTCTCCGTCTCAGCATTGGGGTTGATCATTCAGGGCGGTTTGGTCTGGCACATCTGCAGGAAAGGACCCCCTATCCCAAATGTTTCTCGCCCTTCGAACTTGGGTCCCCTCCCAAAGGCTTAGGGTTCAGTCGGGCGTGTCCCTCTACAGGAGGAAAATTCAAGAATAGTTGAAACACATAGTCTGGGGACAATGTTTGAGTATGTTTGGATCTTCGTTTCGTCCCCAAACCCGCCTGCAGGAGGACATGCCCGACCTGAGGTTAGGGGTACCTCATACAGTGGGGGCGCGCATCAAGAAACCATATGCTTTTCGTCAGGGCATCCTGGGTTTCTTCGCTCCTCGCGCTGCGCGGTGACTTCCCGCAGCCGTGGAAGGAGCTGCTGCGTTCAGGGTGCTCCGGGTTTCCCTTCAGGTGCACCTCGTGCACGGGTTCTCAGGGCTGGGTTTCTTGCGAGGGTTTCTTGCGACCGCGCCCGCACTGTACTACTCATACGCATGGGGAGCTTCGCCTGTCCGGGCTCTGCCAACACACCACGGGCCGCCTTTTTTCGTGCGTTCCTCGGGAGAGAAAGTCCCCTGCGGAGTGGCGTCCCCTCCGCGGCTCCGCACGAGGCCTCGCCCTCCTCGGGGGCGACGTGCAAGGAAAGAATAACCACCAGGAGGGAAAAACACAGACACAATTCATCGTCGATTCCCCAGAACATATGGGAAAATATGGGAAGTGGGGGGGAAGACGAAAACCCAGAAAATATAGGAAAATATGGGAATCTGTTTATTTGTGTGTATTTATTTGTGTGTCCTGCGGCCCCTTCAAACCAGTTGGACCCGATACTTGGCGTTTGCCAAACCCTGGGCGCTTACTACACAGCCCTGCCCTGCTCGATTCCTTCTTCGGATGCGTTTGCTAAACGGCCTCGCTTGTCGGGGTGGTCAATATGGGGGTGGACTCTGTAGGCGTGGCCCAACGCACCGCCGTCACCTTTTTCTTCGTCGGCTCTGGGGAAGTCCAGCGGAGCCACGGCTTGCACAGGTACGGCCGGGCCGGGGTATACATAAGAGCGAGGTCGGTTCGGGGAGGTCAGCCGAGTGTTCTTCGTGCTCGTTGGATGGTGCATCCTGGGGGAGGGTACCCTTGACTGCTTTGTGTGCTTCGGCTGGCGGAGCGTCCCATGTTCTTGAAGGATGCTCTTCAGTCCCAGGTCCAGCCGTGCGGACGAGACCTCGTCCGATTTGGGTGAGGCCAAAGGCGCAATTATCGCTGCTTGCGTGGGCTCCTGGGAGGCTCAGCAGACTGACGTCTTTTTCTTGTTGTTGTCGTTGGTGTCGTTGTCGTTGGTGTCGTTGGTGTTGTTGTTGTTGTTGTTGTTGTTGTTGTTGTTGTTGTTGTTGTTGTTGTTGTTGTTGTTGTTGTTGTTGGTGGTGGTGGTGGTGGTGGTGGTGGTGGTGTCGTTGGTGTCGTTGGTGTTGTTGTTGTTATTATTTTTCTTGTGGTGGTTGTTGTTATTGTTGTTGTTGCTGTTGTTGTGGTTGTTGTTGTTGTTGTTGGTGTTGTTGTTGCTGTTGGTGTAAATGTTGTTGTTGTTGTTGTTGTTGTGGTTGTTGTTTTTGTTGTTGTTGTTGTTGTTGTTGTTATTGTTGTTGTTTTGGTTGTTGTTTTTGTTGGTGGTGGTGTTGTTGTTGGTGGTGGTGGTGTCGTTGGTGTCGTTAGTGTTGGTGCTGTTGTTGTTGTTGTTGTTGTTGTTGTTGTTGTGGTTGTTGTTGTTGTTGTTGCTGTTGGTGTTGTTTCGTGTGCCCGTGTTTTTTTGTATCTTCATGGAGCAGGCAAGAACATAGATACCTGTATACGGATCCGAACTAACCCCTGGGCGGTGCCGACTGCGCAGTTGCCGCCAGTCTTGTGCGCACCTGGGACGTCTTGCGGAGTGACGTCGTGCGCAGGCCCAACTCCGTCCTCGTCTGCCTCGGCTCGGCCCGCTGCGCAGCTGCCGCCATTCTCGTGGGCTCCTCGCATGTCCAGCGGGGTGCCATCCTACGCAGGTCCAAATTGCCCGCCGGTTGTTGAAATTTGGTATTTCTGGATTTTCGGGTCACAATCTTGAGCAAGCGCCTTCTTACCTGGATAATCGATCTGTCTTGCTGTTTTCTGTGACTCTGTGGGCGGGCCCGAACCCAATCTAGTTGATCCGCCTTCCTACCTTGTGTTTCCACCTGCTGCTTCCGAATGGCGGGTAAACCTCCCTCGTCTCTGCCAAATGCGCAACTGCCAATCTTGTCGCACGCTCCCGGGAAGTGCAGCGGGGTGACGTCTCACGCCTGCCCTTGACGATCTTTCGTTGTCGCCTTGTACGTTCGACGGGGCTCTTCATGCACATGTATTCCCCATGTCTCGCAGAAGCATGAGAGAGCCCCTTCATATTGTCCTTCGTCTTGGATGGGTCCGGCGATATAGCAAGGGCGCCCTCGAGGGCTCGAAGTTATTCGCGCTTCGCCGTTCGGCTCCGATTTCTCCTCATCCTCCTCTTCTCCCTTGGGAGGCGGCCCGAAAGCGCGAAGTGATTCGCACTTCGCGCTTCGCGCAGCGCGAAGCGCGAAGTTGGGAGCCCTTGTGTAGCGACCTGTTGCAGACGGGCTGTGTACGCATTCCACCAGCCTCGCCTCTCGATCCTCGAGTCTTCTTGTTCGACCCTCGGGGTTCCCCCCTCTTTGTTAATTCAAGCTTCGCGCGGCCCGCTTAGCTTCGACCGGAAGAGGTGTGCTCTCGACCCGCGAACAAAAATTGTTCGACCCTCGGACCTCGGACCTCTTCAGATCCTCCGACCCGTCTTTGCCACTCTGCGGCCCCAGAAGTCCCAGCCCCGTTCCCCAGGAGCAGCTTCGCGCCCCAGAATCCGTTTCGCTGGCCCCTGGGGTCCGGCATCGGGCCCCTGAGGCCGAGGTCAAAGTCCAGCGCCCAGCATGAGCAACACGGGCTCTCGGAAGTTTGGGGACCTCGATCCTCGTCGTGGAGTTCCTGGTTCTGACGAAGAACTATTGTTGACCCCCCCTCCCCGGTACCCACATTTTTTGCTCTCAGTTGAAGTGGCTCCCCCGAGGCTCGCGCCCTGTTGTGCCAGGGAGAGTCGCGGGGCTCAAACTGCGCCACTGGCACCCGGCTTACACCTGATACTTCCTCACGGTTTACAGTGGGGGCGCGTGCCAAGAAACCAGTTGGATTTTGCCAGGGTGCCCTGGGTTTCTTGGATTTCGATTGGCTCCCACTCAGATCTTCACGATTTTCGATCGACACATGTGGACTTTCACTGAACATATCGTGGGTTTCAGGGTTGGGGTTCTTGCGGAGGTTTCTTGTGGCCGAGCCCCACTGTATTCCAAAATCGCGCTCTCGCGCAGGATTTCCTCACAATGTATACGATCGCGCTCTCGCGTGGGATTTCTTCCTCGCGATTTGTTCAACCGCCGCGCCTGAATACACTCAGGAGGCACGCTCTCGCTCTGGCCTTTCTCATGTTTTCCTTGGACATCGCGCCATTGCTAGAGAATTTCTCGCGATTCCTGCAGGACTCATGCTTCACCCCCCCGCCTGCTCGACCCGCCTTCCCGACCCGCTTGCTAGGGTCTAACTGCCCGATCTGCCCGTCTGGTTCTGCCACGTATTTTCTGCTCCTCGCCTCCCTCCTGCTAATCGCTCTCGTGCTCAATTCTTGTCACTCCCCGTTGTAGCAATCCTTCCTCCACTTTTTTAGGGGCTGCGCCAAATGCACGTTGCAGGTGAGGAAGATGGATTCCAAATAGCGTACGATCGACGACGAAGAGGGCGGGTATTGAGGGTTTGGGTATACGTGTTCAATGGCACGCGAGCAGGTACGAGCGAACAGTCTTTTTGTCGTCGTCGTCGTCGTCGGCAACATCGTCGTCGCCGTCGTCGTCGTCGTCGTCGTCGTCGTTGTCGTGGTCGTCGTCGTCGTCTTCGGCGCCGGCGTCGGCGTCGACGTCGGCGGTGTCGGCATCGGCGTCGGCGTCGTCGTCGTCGACTGTCGCCGTCGCCCTCTGCCGCCTCCGCGCGAGAGAGCACCCTGGCGCCGCAGGGCTCCCCGCCAGACGCGCCTGCCGAGTGGGTCCAGGCCCCTCCCCCGTGCGGCGGCCAGCGGCATCGGCGCCGCCCTTCGACGCGCCGCGTGCTCGCCGCTTGTCGTGGCCGTTGCCGTAGGCGTCGCCGTCTGCTGCTCTGTGGGTGCCCGGACATTCCTCCTGCTCCTGCTCCTGCTTCTGCTCCTCCTCCTCATCCTCATCCTCCTGCTCCTCTCTCTGTAGCCATTTTGGCTCAAGAGCTTTGTGGCGCTGGGTTTCCCCACCGCGCAGGGATGCCGCTTGTCCGCGGCAGCCAGAGAGCTTGCTTTCGGCATCGTTTCGTGAGCTCCTACAGGAGCACCCATGACCAGGTCTCGTGGCAACGGTGGTTAAATTGTGTGCGGCACCTGCGGGTACTGGAATTGGCACAACCGTTTCTGGAAGCGGAAGGGCTGCTGCACGTGCGGTTGCTGGGTCGGCCTTCCTGGTCGCAAGCCGCCGCAGACGCCGTCGCCCCCGTGGTGGACGACGCAGGAGCAAATGGTCGCGAGCCATCCGGATCTGGTGGGCAACGACAAGACGCAGAGCCAGGCCGTCGAGGCGGCGCTCCAGCAGCACTTCGCCAGTCGCCCGCCGCCCCCGATCTCAGCCGCCAAGCCTCCGTCGTTGGATGCTGCTGAACGCTTCAAGGCGCCCCCTTTCAAGCAGGAGCATATCTGCAAAAAGGTCGAGCGCTGCTGTTGGGAGCTGGTGACGGCGGAGCACAAGGTGCAGGATATCCAATCTCGGCTCGACGAGCTCACTGAGGAGCACCTCCAGGCGACGATGGCGCACGAGGCGGCGGTTGTGGCGGTGGCGGGGAAGGGCGCCTCGTCGGAACCCGCGCTGCCTGAACGCCTCGCCTTCCGCCTCGGCCTGTCCCTCTTCGTGGACGTTGATGAGGCGGACGAGGACAACCGCGCTGCGGCGGAGGCGCTCCAGGCCGCCAGGCGCGTGATGGAGAAGGCCTACGACGCGCTGGCAGAGCGCGCCAGGCTGCGATAGCAGGCTCGGCTGGAGGAGGATGCCAAGTTCTCCTTTCGCCGAGGCGCAGAAGGAGGGCGCGCGGATCCAGAGCGCGGAGGCCGCGCAGCTCGCGCGCATGCAGCGGCACCTCCAGGACAAGGCCAAGGTCCAGCAAGATGCCACGAAGAGGAGGTCCTCGGAGGGGGCGGTTGCAGGCGGCGACGCCGAGGCCGCGCTAGAGGCCGCGCTAGAGCCTGCCACCCCCTGCGTAGCCGAGGCGCCCGTGCCCCCGACCCCTGTGGCTTCGGAGGCCGACGCCGACGTGGTTCCCGCGGCTAGCGTGCTCGCTGCGGAGGTGCCCGTGCTCGAGGCGACCCCCGAGCGCGAGGCCCAGCACCTCTCGCAGGCCCAGGCCATCCACGATAGGGCGACCAAGGAGCTCGCCGGGCAGCTCGCAGTCGAGGCCAGCGCCAAGGCTGATGCTGCTGCTGCTGGTTATGCAGGGCCTGCTGCTGCCAAGGGCGGCGGCAAGATCAAGTCGAAGTCGCCTGTTTGACCCGCGCGAGGCGCAGGCCCCACGGGGGGCGGCAGCGGCGTCGGAACCGCCGCCCCCGGAGGAGAAGGCCCGAGGTTCACTTCGCCGGACCCAAGGGCCCTGCAGTGTTCGTCGCCGGCATCGAGCGCTTGGGGCCCCAGGCTGAGAGGTACTTCGGAGAGCACTTCGGCGAGCGCGGAGCGATGGCAGCTGTTGAGACACTTCGAGGAAGTGAAGCACATGTACGCAGCCCGCAATTGTCTCGCTCGGGCTGGCGAGCGACCGGCGCTGCTGCGCTGAGCTCGGCAAAGACGAGTGCGGGTGCGAATGGTGTTGGGCTGATCGCCGCCAGGTGCGGCATGGCGACCTCCTCCTTCAGCCGCCTGGCCGCCGCCGCGCAGAAGGGGCCTTCCGGGGCGCGGCTGGGCGGCTTCGCGCCACTCGCGGTGCATCTCATGCAGGGCAATCTGGTGGTGGTGGCAACAGATGTTTTCCCAGGACGCGGCCTTGGCGGTGCCGACCGCCGCGGGTTCTGGTCGGTGGCCGCCTTCCTGGCCAGCTTCGCGGACCCGTGGGTCGCGATGGCGGACTGGAACGCGACGCCCGAGGAGCTCTCGGGATAGGATTTCGCGGAAGGTACAGGGCTAGCTGCTGCTGCCCCCCGACGCGGAGGCCACCTGCTTCAAGGGCAGCGGCAGGTTCATCGTCTACGGCCTGCTCTCGCACGGCGCGGGCGACCTTGTCGAGCTGGAGGCAGTGCTGGACGCGCCTTGGCAAGTGCGTGCCGGGCTTCTGCTGCAGGTCGCCAGAGGCGGACGTCGATGGTTGCGTCGGCGGCTCGCCGTCCTCCTGGCGATTCCGACGCCGCCGAGGCCCGGCCAGCATCCCGACCCAGAGTCGAAGGCCAGCAGGCGGCGCGCCTCTGCCCTGGCGCGGCGCTGCGATGCGCTGGCAGCTCACCTGCAGGCCGACTTCGTGGCGATGCGGCCCGTGGCGGGCGCTGAGTTGCTGGCCGCGCGCGCGGGGGCTGAGGCGGGCGCGGCGGCTGTTCGGGGGGACTGCGGCCCTTGTGACGATTTCTTCGCCGCGGACGTGGACATGCAGGGTGGCGCCGAGGGCGCCTTGGGGGGCCGCAGGGCGCTACTCCCCGGGGCCCAAGTCGCGGGTCAGACAGTTGGCCACGGTCTGCGATAAATTGCGGCGGCGACCGCCGTGGGGCGATGGCGCCGCTCTCCAGCGTAGAGGGAGGCGTCGCTGCGCAGCGTGCTGACCTCGACGCGCGCGCTGGGCGGCCGTCCACGGCGGGCGCCGAGCTGCTGGCGCAGGCCGAGGAGCACGATCGAGATGTGGCTGCCTGGGAAGACTGCGGGCTTGGCGAGGACTTCTGCGTCGTCGGCGAGGGCGCCCAGGGCGGCGTGCAGAGCGCCAGGCAGCGGTGGCGAGGCTGAGGGCCGCCGGCGCGGGCTGCTGGCACGGCCTGGGGGGTGGGGCCGCAGGCGGCTGCCCCCCAAGGCTCAGGTCGGGCGCAGGCAGTTGGCCGCGGCCTGTGATAAATTGCAGCAGCGATCGCCAGGAGACAGCGCCGCCTTCCGAGCGGGGCGATGGCAGGAGGCAGCTTGCCGCCGACCCCGCGCGGCACGAGCTGATCACGATGGCGGCGAGGAGACCACCTAAGGAGACAACCTGTAGCGAGACGCCTGAGCACTGCGTGCAGTCCGAGGTTTCGTGTTCGGTGGATTCGGCTCTCGCGTCGGCGGGCTGGAACGATGCCATGGAGCAGCTGAGCGCGCGCCACCTTGTTCGGATGGCGGGCGACGACGAGGCGTTCGTCAGCGCGTGCTACGTCCGCTGGGTCGCCAGGGCAGAGGAGGCGCCCCGGGGGGCCAGCAGGTTGCTCGCTGGAGAACGTGGTCGGCATTGCGGTCGCGCTGCTGGTTTTATTTCCGCACCAGCAGCGGCAGCACGACAGGGGCACCTTTGTTCCTTATTTACTTTCAGCGACTGCAGCAGCGCACGACTACGCTACGCTATCGGCACAATGGAGCAACGCGAACAGCGCGGGCGGCCAGCTTGAGCGCTGCCTGGATTTGCTGCTGCGTCGGGCGGCCAACGTCACGATGGATGCCGAGTCGCATTTCCCACGTGCTGCTGGGCCAGAGGTTCCTCCTGCCTGGGGTCTCGTGGCCAGCGTCGCACTGGGGGCCCCCGCCGTGGAGCTGGAAACCGTGGCGGCCGTGACATAGCGCTTCGCCACCGTCTCGCAGACGCGCGCCATGGGCCTGCGTCGTCGTGAGTTCGCTTCGTGGGCTCGCAAGGTGTGGCGGGAGAAGCTGGCCGCCCTCCGCAGATGGGCGCGTCGCCCCGCGCCCGTGGCGCAGATGCTGGTGGGGGGTGGCCTTCCGTGGCCGTGCCCAGCCATGTCGTGCGCCGGAAGGCCGCGCGATGGGGTGCACTGTGGCTTGCCCCCTTTGATTCCTGGCCTGACCTCCTGGCTGCCCTCCAAGCAACCATGCGTCGGGCCAGTGAATCCCCGCAGGGATCCCTCGAGTGCAAAAGCATCGACCCGGCCGCGCGGGCCCAGGGGTCCAGGAAGGCAAGAGGCGTTGACGGCCTCGGCTCGGGCGACCTGGAGGGGCTGCCGACCGTGGGCCGCGACGAGCTGCGGCCCCTGCTGGCGCGCTGCGAGGAAAGGCGCTGCCGGCCGCACCAGCTGATGGGCGTCGCCGGCGGCGCTCTCCCCAAGGGGGCGGGCGGCAAGCGCGCCGTCGGCCTCCTTCCGCTGGCCCTGGAGATTTGGTCCCGAGCTCGCTCGGTGGTCGCGTCGGCCTGGGCTGAGGAGCTCGGCGCTTTCTGGGGTGCCGCAGTTCGTGGCTCCAGCGCGGCGCAAGCAGCGCTGGTATGCAGTCTGCTCGACGAGACGGGCGTCGAGCTGGAGGTGGCGGCCGCCGCCCTCCTGCTGGGCGCGGGGGTCTTCTACGACGCGGTGTCGTTGGTCAAGCAGGCGGTTGGCCATTGTGGAGCTGCTCCGCTCCCCTGCCGCGGCGGCGCCCCTGGAGGTTCAGCTTTTCCTGACGCCGCGCTGCCTGGAGGACAGCCGCCCTGGGAAATTCGCGCAGGCGGGGGCGGCCCGCTCCATCGTCGCGGACTCGGCGCGCAGGGTCTCCTCTGGCAAGCTGTACCCCAGCCAGTTGATGCAGTAGGCACACGCTCTGTGCCCTCGGGCTCGTCTGCAGAGCTTCGTCGACGACGCGGTGATCCGAAGCGAGGGGTCAGCCAGCGCCGCGAGGGATGATCTTCCCCGCGTGGCCAATGCGCTCAAGGACGGCATGGGCGAACAGGAGTTCATCTGCTCGCCCAGGCGGTGCTCATGGCGTCCAACGGCGAGCTGGCAGCCAACCGATCGGGCAGTCTCGAGCCGACTGGGCGCCCTGGCATCGAGGCGTCGACGAGGCGTTCGACCTCGGCAGCCGACGAGGCGTTCGACCTCGGCATCGACGCGGCTTCGGGGCGTCGCAGGGTGCGGACCAAGGCGTCGGCTCGCATCGCTGCTGGATCCCAGCGGTGGGGGCGTATCATGAAGCTTCGGCGTGCCACAGCCAGACCAAGTGAGTGCCGTGGTCTGCGGGCCACGGGCGCGATGCCGCAGTCGGCCCACGGCCACCAGGAGAACGGTGCACCTCCTGGTCTAGTACGACAGCTACGATGGCGGGCTGGTCGACCTGCGGGGGGCGCGGCCCGCGGGTGCTGCCGCGCTTCCCCGCTGACGGCAACGGTGGGGCTCCGCGACCCCTTCCTCGCACTGCGCTTGCAGCTGGTGGCGTCGTGGTGCAGCCTGTGGTTCTCTGACGCGTCGCTGCGTGGCCGCATCGGGCGCGCCTGAGCAAGGTTTCTGGGGGCTCTACGGCGCGCAGGCGGGTCCGTGGGCCCAGGGGCGCGCTGCGGGCCGCGCTGCTGGACGTGGGCTGGGGCCCGCGCACGGCCGCAGTCTAGGCCCGCCCGACGGCCGAAGGCGAGGGCGGGTGGAGGCTGGCTGGCGCCGACGACGACAGCTTCCACGCGCGCGCCGACTTCGGCGGGGTGCTCCAGGATGTCGAGGAGGACCTCAGACGCCAGCTCTGCCAGCAGGCGTTGGCGCACCCGCAAGAGGGGGGGGGGGGGGGGGGGGGGGGGCCAACGGCGGCGCAGACTTCCTGCGCATCGCGCGCGATCTCAGGAAGCTGGAGCGCGAGGCTTGCCATGCCGAGTGGGGGCTCACCCTCGCCATTGTCCCAGGCGGCCAGTGGGCGAGATCCCGTCGCGCTGTAGCTGGCTGCGCGCTGGGCTTCGAGGGCTGCGCGCGGCGCGGCTGTGCGAGCGAGACCCTGGTGCGCAGGATGTGGCAGCGCCCTGCGAACATGGGCGTGGGGCTCAACTCCATTGCAGCCCTGGTGCCGCGGGCGCTCGCTGGTCGTGCGTCGTCGCCTGCCATGCGGATGCGCGGGGCGCCCGCCTCCTTCGTGGCCATCCCTGTCTTCTGCGACCAGCGGGCGGAGGAGGCCGGTGTCCTTCGGCGCGGACTGCGCCCTGAAGCAGCGAGGTGCGTCGACGGCTTCGCGGTGGTCAACGGCGATGGCTCTGGCGGGAAGCATTCCGGTGACCAGAGGCGCCGACGTTGAGCTACGAGCATCGTGGTCATGGGTCATGACGAGGAGGGGTCGTGGTCCGAGCAGAGCCGGTTCCGCGCTGTGCCTGTCCGCGGCAGGCGGCAGACTGCGCCGCGCGCGGAGATCCTCGGCTTCGCGCTGGCGCTGGAGTCCGTCGGCGGGAACTTGAGGTGCGCGGCGGGAGAAGGTCGGCGGCCGTCCAGCCTGGCGGCGCCGGCTAGGACCTCCGGCAGCGTGCTCGGTAGACGCGGCGGCGCAGGTCTCCCGGCGTGATCCAGGTTGTCTGGGCGCCCGCGCAGGCGGACCAGGGCTAGCATCTGCGCCTGTTCAGGTCCGAGGCGGACCTCGGGCGGGCGATGGGCAACGCTGCCGCCGATGCGCTCGCGAGCGCGACGGCGGCGGCGTGCTGGCGGCTCAGGCTCGCGGAGGCAGAGCCGCGCGCCGACGTCGTGGACGCGGGGGCCGCATGGTCCGCGGGCGGGCAGGCAGAGCCCTCGAGTTCTCGGCTGAGGCTGACCTGCAGCGTGGAGTTCGTTGCATGGGGCCGCGTCGGCCCATCCGTTCCGCTTCCGCCGTGGCCTGCGCCTCGTCGCGCGAGCTGCAGCAGTGTTGATCAGACGGTTGGGTCTGCACGCGCTGCCTGTGCATGGGCGGGCAAAGCCAGCTGTTCTGCTTCGCGGCCACCTGTTGCATGTTCAGGCCCCCCGCCGCTGATGCGGGGCCGACGGCCGAGGCTTGTGGCGGCGCGCCCGTTCCTGTGGCCGCGAGCGAGCTGCAGAACGGAGGGAGAAGAGCCGTGGACCCCCACCTGTCTTTTACACTCTGCATGCTTTTTCGATCCATTGCATTACGTATTTTGCACGTTGTGGCTTCTTTACTCCGATCGTGAATCGCGACGTTGTCCGTCACTTGCGTCGTCCTTGTCGGGGCGAGAATCGTGGTGGCAATAAGAATCCCAGCCGCTGTCGGAGGGGATTGTATCCTCGTCGCGAAGGCCCGCCCCGGGGCACCCTCCGTGTCCAGGAAGCCATCCTGGCTGCCGCCGCACGCAGCGACCAGGCGTCGGAGAGCTCCCGAAAACAGCCCGAGCCTGCACCAATCCCCAGGAGGGCCCCGCAGCGAAGGCCTGGGGAGCGAGGGCCACGCATGGGGCCTCGGCGCCTGCGTGGTGTTCGTTCCCCGCGCCTGGGGTGCGTGGTCCGATCGGGCCTCTGGTTAATTCAACGTTCCTAAACGTTCCTCCTGCTCCTCTCTTCCTCCTCCTCCTCCTCCTGCTCCTCCTCCTCCTGCTCCTGCTGCTGCTCGCCCTCCTCATCCCCCTCCTCCTCGTCCTCCTCCTCGTCCTCCTCCTCGTCCTCCTCCTCGTCCTCCTCCTCGTCCTCCTCCTCGTCCTCCTCCTCCTCCTCCTCCTCCTCCTCCTCCTCCTCCCCCTCGTGCTCCTTCTCTTCCTCCTCCTCCTCCTCCTCCTCATCCCCCCCTTCCCTGCCCTGCCCTCCCTTCTCCTCGGCGCTTGCCGGCCGCGCACGGGGTCCCCAGCCTGGCCTGTGCCGCTCCAGCGGAGCGCAGCAGGCCTAGCTCGCGGGGTTCGCAGAGGCCCACCTCCGATTCCTCATGTGTTTCTGCAGTGCCGTTTTTTATACATGCTCCGCGTGCGGACCATGTACTAAACATAAATGGTTGAATAATATGTACAAGGATGAGTTTATACATTCATTTATTCATAAAGTAAGCATGTTGTTTGTTAAAAATCTTATGTTTGTAAACATCCGATGTATGAAGAGCTGCCCTGTATCGCGTTGGCGAGAGTTATGATGCTCCAACCTACTCTAGCCCCGGCTACCAGAAGGAATGTCGAGCGCCCAAACAAGTACCGAAACTCAAGGGTTTTCACGTGCCGGGCCCTGGGAGACCCTCGCCCGACACTGTTTTGACATCGTTTCGACACTCTTTTGACACTTTTCCGGGTGCTCGACAGTATTTTTGGGATGTGGTCCTTGATGTAGGATGGGAACAGCATAGGGCGAGAGGCTAGGTGGCGGCAGGCGTTCATTGCAGGAGTCCCTGGACATGTTTATGCTCATGCTCCTCCTCCTCCTCCTCCTTTTGCTCTTGGAGGAGCAGGGGGGGGAGGCTCAGCAATAACGCATCCGAGATGGTGTCCTCCCACGCACGTAACTACCAGTCAAAGCAACACGCGCTTGTCTCTGCGACGAGGCACCGCAGCAAGGCCCGTCGCGCAACCTGCAGCACCTTGGCGTCGGTCCGAAAATGCGTACAGTGGAGACCCATGCCAGGAAACACTCTGCTCGCCTCCAGGGTGCCCTGGGTATCTCGGGTTTCGATGGTTTTGCTATGGGAAGCGTGACGTTCCCACACCGAAAATCAATGGACGTCCTGGGGTCTCTGGGGTGGGTTTCTTGTGGAAGGTTTCTTGTGGTCGGGCCCCTACTGCAGGAGGCACCTCGCGTGAAACTCGTCCAGTTGCTGCCTCCTGAACCAAATGGTGTGGAGCCTGCAAAGCAGCCTCGCCTGCACGCACGCTTCGAGTAACAGCAGCTTCCTTCGAGCCGACCTCGTGGACGGGGACCAGGCTCCCGACACAGCGCGTCAAATTCCGCCTCACCTGGCCCTGCTGTCGACTGACCTCCTGACCCGGCTGAATCATCTCAGCCCGGAACACGCTGCCCAAGAGGCTCGTTGAAGGGGGAAAGACCGCCGTCAGGCTTGCAGATGCCAGCGTCGCGTCTCGCTGCAAGCACCAGCTTGCTCCAACTGAGGGTGAGGCCGTTGGACCCAGCGGAACCTGTTGCTCTCATGTAGGATTCCGTCTGAGATGCAGATGCGCCGACAACATGTGTGGCGTCCGATTAGACAATATCGCATCTCTCCCCGCCAGCATCTCGCAGACTCCGCCAGGCGTCGCCAAGGAGAACAGGCATGACCATGACGAGGAATGGCGAACGTGAGCAAGCTTGGCAGATGAGGCACCTCGTGCTTAGGGCCCCATCCCTCAGCACCCCATCTTTGAACCCCTGACACTTGGAGCCGCCTTGGGGCGGTCATGGGGCCTGCCGAGGCATGCTGGAAGCCCTCTTGAGCCATCTTGGGAGTCTCTTGGGGGGGCCGTTTAAGGGCCCTCTTGGAGCAATCTTGAAGGAACACGGGGGCTGTGTGGATACGGAGCACATGTGATAGAACATGTATAACATGAGTACTTTGCCCCTCTTGGACTCGAGAAGTCACCTCTTGGAGCCCTGTCGGCGCGTTCTTGGGTCGCTCTTGGATGCTCTTTGGTGCTCTGAGGGCTGTCTCGGAGCCACTCTGGGAGCGTTCGGGGCTCTCGAGGGACCTCCGTGGGGCCCCCCTTGAAAGCCTCCGGTGCTCTCTCGTGGGCGCCATCTTTGAGGACACTGGTCAAGGAAGGGGGGGTTCTCACTCAGCGCTGCCTCTCTGGCTCTCTCGGGTGCCCTGGGGGCCGTCTTGGGGCCACATCGTGGCCCCGAGAGCCCATCGGAACTTGGCATCGCTCGGACGTGTGCGTTTTTTCTCGGCGAGGG